AAAAAAAAAAAAAAAAAAAAAAAAAAAAAAAAAAAAAAAAAAAAGGAGAAATGAAAGGCAGAAGTGGAAGTCAGGCAGCATTTGGGGCCGCTGTTTCCCTGGAAACCAGGGAGATCCGGGGTGGGAGGTGTGCGGGGCGGGGGGCTGATGCGGCTCACCCCCAATGGCACGGCACAAACCCTCCGTGACTCACGTCAGCAAGGCAGCATCGCTACCAGCGGCGTGGGGAGGGCTTTGTGCTCCTGCTTCTCTCTTGAGAGAGACAAAGAAGCCGGGAGTAGGCACAGYTCCGGCTGGGGGGAGAGGGGAGGCTGTCGGCATGGCACGGGGAGACAGCCGGCACGTGTCCGTGAGGCTGAGATGGATTCACTAAACCACCCGGCACTGACCTACGAGCAGAACTGCTGAGCACATCRTCACCCCCTTTCCTCACGAGTCGCCCCAAATCCCCAAATGACAGCCCTCATCCCCACTCCCATCCATCCTACCCACTTTGGCACTGCCAAATTGCCAAACCCCAAAGCCCAGCGCGCTCTGGCAGCGCCCTCCCGCTCCGCGGAGTCACTCGTGCGCGAATGATTGCGGGGTCATGGGAGACACGGGGGCTGTGTGTGTGTGTGTGTGTGTGTGTGTGTGCGCACCCCCAAACTAACACGGGGACAGGGTGAGGGTGGGGGTTGCTTTGGGGGTGCTGGAGCCCGGGGGGCACACACACACAGCAGCGCCGTGCCCGCGCTGAGGGTCAGCTGAGGATGCCGGCACGGTCCGTGTGTGTTACCTTGAGCAGGAAGGAATGCTGCACATGCCTGGGATTTTGGGGTGGGGTTGATGAGGGCGTGAGGCAGAGACAGAGTTAACTCCCCAGCCTTGGAGTGAACAGGCTGCCCCTGTTTCTCAGATCTATTGCTCCCCTCACCCTTTAATGCAGCCTCCTCCCCGTGCGATGTGTGCGGAGTGCCGGGGAGGGGGGAGACATTGCTGCATTCTCCCCCTATTTTTTTTCAATTAACCATCTGGAAGGCATTAATCAAGCTACACATTTTTTACTATGTAGGCATAACCAGTGAACTGTTAACTAGAAAGCTTTATCTTCTGAGCCCTGTGGCCTGGGAGAGAGAAAAGACAGGAAAAAAAGAAAAAAAAAAAAA